CCTCCTACCTCTGTAGGTAGGTTAGTTTACTTAGGTCGTGGTCCGTGTGTTTAGTATTTGTCTTGTGTGTGTGTGTGTGTGTGTGTGTGTGTGTGTGTGTGTGTGTGTCCTGAGTGTCAGGTTGGACCAACATCAGTACTTTAAAACATGTGCTAATGAAGAAAAATATCAGCATGTTCATTCTTTTTTGTGGTGGTGGCAGAAATCCTAGCTAAATGGCCTTAGGGTAGTAAGCCAGGTTTTCCTTAGAAGCTCATTAAAGAATTACTCTTTCCATTATAAGTAGAAGAAATACCCTCATCTCAGTCATTCAAGAGCATGGGTAGCTGTCAGACCCTGACAGCAGGAGGTCTCAGTTGAAGGAGATTCACAACAATTTTTACCTCTTAGCCAACACGCCTAGAGAAGAGATAACTGGTCAACCAAAGGCTGGGCTGGGAGTCGCAGAAGGAACTCCTGCTCGGGCTGTCACTGGGATGCAGGGACTTGTCCCCCTTCTCCTGCCCAGGTCCCCGTCCCTCCCCCACAGGGCAGCAAGTGAGGCGGGCCAGGGGCTTTGTACACCTCGTCCTCTTGTCTAACACCATCGGCTGTCCTAACCGTGCCTGCTTACTGATCTGCTTAGAGTAGGTACTAACTGCTGCTTCCTGCTAAACTTGTTTTTAGAAGTTGCCCTTCCACAGCCTTCTCCTCCCCAAAACCCTTTTAGGTTGCTCAGGCTGTCCTTCACTGGCTGAACTCTGGCTGTGGACGTGTGCTCCCTCCCTGTGGGGCCAGGGGGCCAGGCTCCAGCTGAGATGCCAGCAGACCCAATACAAGTCTTTGTCTCTCTGTGCTCCTGACTTGGCATGCCGGGGGGCCGGGGGGCCGGGAGGGGGCCTGGGGCTCGTCTCTTTCATGTCTCTGCAGCCTCACTGCCCACCACGCAAGGCTGAGGGGGAGCTGGGTGAAGGTGGGTGGATTCCATACCCTTGAGTTCAGAGGGAAAAGGGACATTTCCCTTGAGGGGTTCCTCTGCTGGGGAACTTCAGGAAGGTAGTAAAAATGCTGCTAATCTTTCTCTCTGTCCCGGTAAGACGAAGGAAGCACGATGTGAAATTTATGGGAACCAGTGGAGTACAAGAAAAATAACACCGAATGTTGTTTTTAGAAGACGTAGATTCAAATCCCTTTGGGGGCCACTCATTCTTTCCATAAGCTTGGGCCAGTCACCTCTCCCCGCTGGACCTCTGACGTTTTTTGTGAAGTGAGGACACTGGA